GCTCAGCGCGCTGATGTAACCTTATTCCTTTCGCAAATAAAATCTAGAAGCTGAGTGCAGCTTCTGTTGGTCCTCCTTTGGTGTTTCCCGTTCCCTCTGGTCTCTTGCGTGCACACGTGCCTTTGTGTTTCCTTTCTTCCTTTTGCGTCTTGGCGAGTGGAAACTTCTTGTCTGAGGAAACTTCCGAGTTTAGGGGATCACTTGAAGATTGAGATTACCTTTGCGTTTGAATGCAGACGCTTTGTGTTGTAACATGTATTTTGATACATGTTGTATCTTCAATGTGTTTTTCCCTAACTCGGTTTCGCAGCTTTGTTCAGTTGTTGTTTCTTTATGAAACCTTTGCTGAACAATTTCTTTGTCACGAAGGTGATTCAAAGTAAATGCCAATGGTGGCCATTTAAGTTCAATACCTCCAAAGGGAGGGTGGGTGGGTTCACGTTTCTCGCGTGACTCGTTTCGTTGTCTTTTGCGCCCGCCCACCCAACCCCCGGCCTGGTCCGTGGCTGAAGAGGCCGCTGTGATATCTCCACCGTGCTAGAAAAAGGACAATGAGTGCGGATTCCATTATGTCAGTGTGTTGCGATGTTCGATGTGTTTGCATTTGCTTGTCTAACTTGCGGTTTATTTTTTCGTTTTATAATCAGCGTGCAGAGCGAGACGAGTAGAGCCTCTGTTGTTTTTAGCACTGTAAGTACACGCGTGTAGGGTTCGGGTTTGGACCAACCTTTTATTGGAGTTTGGAATAAGTAGAAGTATTCGTGCCTGAGAGTTTCGTAACATCCTGCTTCAAGGCTTGTTTGCTTGATATCCTCGGGCACCATACCACGCCTCGCCGGGGCTCAAGAACTGGGTAGCCGCGACTCCGTGAACTTCGCTACCATTGTTGTTTTCAACAAGACTTGAACTTCACTTGGTCACGTACAGACTTGTAACTCTGATCAGTGATGTAGTAGGTGCTAGGGGTCCTTCACAGGGATCACACGTTCGCCTGTTGTAGTCATGGCTCTGGCTACTGATGCTCTCGAGTGGAGAACGCAGCGAGAGCAGGATATCAGAGACGCTTTATTATGCGGTCAAGAACCGGTGGACTGCTTAGGATTATGTCACGGACCAACGCGACTACAGCTTTAGGTCCATAGAAGCGTGGCCTTTGGACGCTGCTGTCATTTACAAGCCTACGGATCGAGCAGCGCTTTTGCTTCTTCTAAGTTTGAAAGCCGTGTGTAGCTTGGAAGACATTGTGGAGACCACGTCTTTGAAGGTCACTGTGGTGGTCACCATGTGCGCGCAGGAGATGAAGATCGCAGGCGCACCGACCGACTGGACGAAATACTTTCAAGAACAAGATGTCTTTCACATCCAGTGTTATTTGGAGGACACGACATTGAAGCCGGCAAGGCGTTGGCTTGAGCAGGTTCCGGACTTGGTGGCTTCCTGTTTGCGACAGTGGAAAATCGTCTGCGACCAGTTGTGGAAACAGTCCATGCTGGCGATCGCCGGGGACAAATCCATGCACGTGCTCTTTCACTGCTTTGGTGGCATCCACCGGAGCGCGGGGATTTGGTGCGCTTGGCTCGTTGTCGCTTACGAGCGCTCCGCACTGGAAGCCGTGCAGTTGCTACTTCAAAAAAGACCAGCGTTGTGCCCTTGGCGCAATCGACCCTATGTCTTGGAAGCGTTGTGGCACCTGGAAGGTTTGCGCGCGGAATGGCGGAGAGACTTCAGCGCAGCACACCGAGACTAATTTGTGTCGCGGGTCGTCCGTCGAGACTGTTCGGGACGAAACTGCGACATCATCGCTTAGACGACGGGATCCGCGACTGCCGGAAAAAGAGACGCGACGTTGATATGTGTCTACTTCACCTGCGCGACAAACGATGCGCAGTTGGAACGCACGAGTCACTTGTCCTGATCGTAATGTCGTTTGCTCTCAGGTCGCAGTGTTGGTGCTTTGAAGGGCCTATCCGCGAGAGTGGAGATGATGACTTGAAGCGCACTTACTGCGTACTTCTCTGTGTCTGATACTTGAAGTCAAACTGATTTGCTTTGAGCCTCTGCTCGCAGGATATCTACTCGCCGCTTGTTTTTGGGGCCTGGATGAAGCGCGCACAAATCCATTTTGTGTGCGCTTCGACCTGCTGACGGTTTACTTCGTTTTTGTCTTGAAATGAGACTGACTTGTCTTGAGCCGTTTGAAGAGCGACTGACTTCTTACGAATCTAAGATATATCTTTTCACTCGCCTCTGTCCATTTACGTCTTTGCACGCTCGCATCCACAGATCTACCTCTCCACCTCCATACATCTACACATCTGTATGACACCTGCGCATCCACACTGTCACTCCTTCACGTCCATCCTTTCTTTCTTTCTTTATCGATGTTTTTTCCACAGTACTGGACAATCACATGTCTCGCTCTCGGGCCACCCGTCGTCTAGTTGCTCCTTCAAGGGATGGAAAAAAGTGATTTTTCTGGGCACCAGTTTGGGGTCCAAAAACCCCAGCAAAAACCGGTCTCGCCACAGAGTGCCTCCCCAGTGTTATCGTTTTCTGACGACCAGTTGCACTACCCTCTCTGTCGACAAGCGGTCAGGCGTTGGAGGATTGCGCCCGGAAACCTGAATGTCTCACCCCAAATGCGGGCATTTCTTGAAGCCATTTCTGACAGCGGTCAATGCATCGCGATGATTCGCACTGCCGTCTGTCCAATTGCATCGTGTGGCCGTGCAGGGCCCCTTGATGTCATCCTCCCTGTCAGGGGGGAATGGCGCCCTTCCGGGCAGATGCGTATCGACGACCACCACACGCCACACATGTCACTTAAGAAACCTCAGTGATGAGCTGTCCCCCTACCTTGCGTGCAATCCCAGGAGACTTCACAGGCACAGAATCTTGCTTTCCGAAAGCAACACCCTGACATCGTGGCCTTGGCACTTGGTAAATCCCTCGATGCTTACAAGTATGTCGCGATAAAAACGTTTCTCGCATGGACTGTCCACTTTGCCGTCTCTTGGACATCGGTAAGCCGACATTCTATGAATTACGCCAAGCTGAAGCTGCTTCCTCAGCAATTCATCCCACGCCCAGCTCCGTTTCACACTGGAGAAGTTCAAGTGCACGGAGAATAAAACCTCCGAGAGATCTATAAGATTTCCAGGTCTGGTCGGTCTTGTGCTGTTTTTTGGGTTGCTTTTGTTTTGGTGTTTGTGTTTTGTTGGTTTTTGTTGGCGGTTTTGGGTTTTTGACCACAACAAATCTTTAATCTCTTCAGTAGCTGACCTTCGCGTTCTCTGCGATGACTGGCAGCCATACTCGTGCAAAAAAAATTTGCAAGCGACCCTGCTTGCCTTGGAGTTCCTAACAAGCGACAGAGCTGTGTGGAGGTGAGCTACATAATTCCCTTCTGGTGTTCGGTTTTTTGATTTTGCCACCGTGATCCTTCGAACAAGGTGCAGGCATTGGAGAAAAAGGTTGTCTTCCTGCAGAACAAGATCGAAATGGATGCACATGACAACAGAGAGGCTGTCGAACAGCAAGATCAAGACAACTCCATGACGGCTGACCACGTGGAGAGAGTGCATCGAAAACTTATCAATGCTGGAAGACATGTTGAGGATCCATCAGTGCAAGTGGGAATGGCAAGGCTTGCACCACCGATGGCATGATGATTGAAATTGGAAGAAGATGGAGACGATCCAAGATGAGCGTGAAGATCAATTTTCTGGGGCAATGGTTCTCCACATGGATGTGGCCCAAGAGAACCAGGACTGAGTGGAGCAACAGCAATCATTGTCTTGGATCGCCAGCCCCCGTGGCTGAACCTGAGCCCACACCGGGCGATGAGAGCATGGAGGCCGATAACGAGGCCATGGAAAGTGATGAGACAAGCGCACCGGAGCTTGTGGCAGCTGAAGCAATTCGAATCCCGGATGCTCAATTTGAGCATTACAACCGGGTATACAATCGTGCCGACCTTCGAGCTCGAGAGGAGCTTTTGAAGATGGAGGCCAATTGTTTCATGGCCATCGAAGTGGCAATAAGAATTTGATGAGCGAGATGATGCACGAATCAGTTCATTTTTTTAATGGTTTGATGAACTAGGTGCCAAGTACAAACGCAGGCAACTAGAGGAGGAGTGCTAAACATGAACGAAAGCACTCATGGACACATCACCGAGACCGCTTTACCTCAAGGAAAAGAAGCTTCGCAACTATTGTGGTCGAAGTGATGGCGATGTTTTTGTCAATTCTTTTGACATTCATTGTTCTGGAATGGGTTTTTTCAATTGTACTGCACCTTTTGCCAGACGTGCGGCAGAACAGATCTGAGAGAACCGGAGGGATTGCTGGAAACGGTGCATTTGAAGTGCACCTTCTTGAAAACATTTCAATGATTGTGAAAAGGTTTTCTTGTTTGGTCCATGTTTTGAACAAAAGTCCAGTGTCTACTTCGTGGCGGTTCAATCAATCTTTCACAATGGGTGTGTGTTTGGGCCAATGCTTGCATTTTCGGGTTCCCATTTTGAGCATCTCTCGGATTGATCAGATCTGTAACTGGCTTTCCGCATTCACCACACCTCACATATTTCGATGAAATTCACGTTTATCATTGTTTAGCAACTCTTGCGGCGGTGTAGCTCTCCTTCAGTATCGCGACTTTTACATTCATGCTGCACAAGTACACTCGTACAGCGCATGACATCCAACCATTCAACGCGCTTGTGTTTATGGTCAGTTTATGCTATCCTCCATCATCGAACCACGGAAGGGTTTTCGTATCGAGGTTTTCTTCATTTGTGTCCACGTTAGTTGTTTGATCGTGAACATTTGCACTAGTTACTAGCATTTTGACTGTATTTTGCCACAGATGCACCTTTACTTGCTTGCTTGCTTGTGTTGATGGCCGGAGCTTTTTGTCAGTTTGCCAGCCATGGCCAAGTAGGAAACAAAAAGATGGCAGGTATAGGTGCAATGTCCAATTCCTAGCCGCAGCCACTGTTTTGCTTGTAGCAAGGGCAGACATGTTCAATCGTATTTTCCTGTACTGCTCTGGCGCAAGTTTTGTGGTGCATCAAAATGACATCAGTTTGGGTCGAGATGGGTGCACTGTGAGCCCGTTGCCAGCGTGTAGCAATGGAGGAGGGGTTAAATGTTGAAGTGCAAACATTCCAGATTCAATTTTAGAACAATGTCCTGAAAGACAGAGCGTCAAAAAAAGACCCGTAGCTTTGCACTGCCTCCGGTTCAAGTTTCACAGGATTTGGCGAGTGCCTTTCAAAACGACTTCTTTGACGCGGTGAAGGTGTCTTGGATATGATACAGTCTGATAGAGACATGTTGGCAAACTACTACTTTCCGAGGTGCTTGAAGATTTTTCCTCCTCTGTGTGCACCTCAGCCTAAGCATGATGCTTGATTCAGGATTTGGTTGAAACCCCAGCACAGAGCGTGAGGACTTTGCACTCAAAGATGCAATGGCAGAAATAAGAAGGAGGATAGCTGCGAAGACGTGCCGCACTGCTGTGGTTTTGTGCTTGTCCGGCTTTGTGCACTCTGACAGTTTTGAGTTCTGACTTACCTTGCATTACGGACGCCGGGAAAATTGGTTGTTTGTTGAAAGGTGTGACTGATGTTCTGAAGGTATTTGTAGTAGCCGAGTCTGAGTCTCTTAAGTCGTTGGGAGGTCTCCAATTTTTGTGGACACAGTAAGAGCCACCAGATCCCACTCACGAACTCCGCAGGTACGTGTGTGCGCCGAACTTCTGGGATGACCTTCGCGCCACTTTGAAGGCTGAAGATCCTTCCAAATGGGCAGGGATGGGTGCATTGATGATACTTTCCAAAATGGGCAGGCAAGGAAGAGGTTTAAGCGTTCCTGGTTTGGTACAACTTGCTGTGTTAGAACTTATATACTTGTGTGACAAGACACCCTGCGACCAGCGAGGCGATTGAAGAGAGACGCGACGAACGTGCAGCCAAATCGAAAGCTCAGCAGGTTCGACAGCATGTGGCCTTTAGCATCGCTTCTAGGGTGGAGGCCATCGTTAGCAGGTTGGATGCCATCGCTAGTAGGGTGGAGGCCATCGCTTCTAGGGTGGACACCATCGTGTGTCATCGAGTCATGCTGTCCAGGTGCTGAAGCAGATCGCTCGTTTGGAGGTGAAATTTTGGGCGAAGGCTGTATGCCAGGCTGTTTTTCTGTTGCATTGCGACTTGAGTCCGAGTGTTGCTATGTGAGAGGCGAGTGTTGCGATGCTAAAAGAACTTGATGCGGAGTCAAGGCTTGAAAGAATCGTTCGAAGCTCAAAGAAAGACAAATAGTTGAACAGAAAGATCAACTCACATATAGATAGACTATTTTTAGATTCTTTCACTGGATGCGAATCTTGAACTAGGTCGACTGGCTCCAGACCTTTGGGCCAGGGGATGAGGAAGACAGCTCTTCTGGACCAGCAGTGCTGTTTCAGGTGGAACAACTTTCCTCGGAAAAGCTGCGAATCACCCACCCACTGGTTGTGGCTTCAGGTTCTTAGTGATGTGACCCTGCAGAAGGCCAGGGGAATCTTTTCTGCTACACTTGTGTTCATTTTGTATTTCCTTGTCTAAACTCTTGACAATATAAGAGTAGCATCCACTGGTGTACTTATGAACCTAGCTGCTGAAGTCAATGATGCATGGTAGCATCACCAGCACCACTAGCATCACAGCCAAACTAGATTTGGCGGCATGTCTGCCTCAACTTCTCATCAGATTGGGGCACACGGACCCAACACAAACGGGCCAGAGATCATCAGTCAATCATCGTCAACTGGATCATTTGGACAGGACTTCGAGGCTCCTCAGCGTGAAGCTCTTTCTGCCGCTGTCCGAGAAAACTTGCAGAAATTTCCTGTGGAAATGCAGGCGATGCAAAGCACATTTTGGACACTTTGGGTGGTGTTGCACTCTCTTTGATCAATGGGAGGAGATTGAATGAGCATGAGATGGAGCATGAACCCAACTTACTGCAACGTTTCCGCAGTTGTTTTGCAGGCAGTGCTTGAGCGTGTGGGAACCGTGACTGAACCCAGATCATTTGGAGTGCCGGACTGGAGGAGGAGGCTGTAAATGCGCTAGGTCTTGATGGATCGAGGTGACGAATCCTAATTCATGCACAGCCAATGAATCGAGTAGCACTCCGTGTGATAGGCATCAGCCAACGCAGCTCGATGCTCCAACCTTGGGCCCTGGTGCAAAGCCACAGCCTCAGCGCCGTCACTGGTCAGAGGTCCGATGTCTGACCTGTGCAGGTTGCTATTTGGCCTGGAGTGCGACCCTCAGGGTGTTTGAAAATCAGGAAGAAAGGACAAACAAGGCGACGACAAGAAAGGTCTAAAGAATTAGGAAAAACAACAAGAAAAGGACCAAACACATAGGGACGTATACATTGAAACTAGACTGAAATGAACGTATATAGACAGGAAAGGTCCAGTTTGGGTCTGTCCCATTTCCTGTAACAGTCGGTAAACAATTGTCTATTTAGAGAACGGCCTTTACTAAACATCATCATCCACGGTTAATGGCAATGAGATAGTCTAGTCTTAAACTTGGCTACCTCGACAGCGTACGTCTCCAAATTACTATTCATGTATTTGAAAGGTTCTTGGGGTAGCCGCAATGACAGTTAGTCACCTCTGGAGTTCATTTCATTTGTTTGCATTTGCTTTCATTTGCTTTCATTCTGCTTTCATTTGCTCTCATTGGCAGTATTGTCCTGTGGATTTTTGCTATATATTTTAAAGCTGATTTTTATAAATGTGGCCTCCAAAACCCAGATTTTTGGGCGCAATATAGGATTTTCTGAAGCGTTTATATAATACTCAAGGACATCCTGCTAAATACGAATGAATCAAACATTACCACAAAACCATGCAAACATGCTCTTTGTTTACACGATCATGTTTCCGTGCTTGTGCACACCATGGTTGTTTTACTTGAATAAGGCCTTCAGATGAGCTGGGTGAGTTCCAGGTACCAAAGAGGCACCTGGAGGTTATTGGTGCCACTAACATGTGAGCAACATGTGCTACCAACATGCGAAGCTCCAATGATCACTGTTGTCTCATGCCGAACATGGAAGTTGGCATAACACAAACATCTCCGCTTGGCAGTGCCACCACGGATCCAGCCGATGGTCAAGTTGCAGAGGAGAGCAAAGGGCACTTGAATCTGTGCAGATCGTCAAGGATAGAGACGAACCTCCATGCATTGGCGAACACTGGACTTGGTGGGACTTTGTTTGAGTCATTTGTTTTTTGTTTGCGAGCTCTTGTGCTGGCGTCACAGGAAACTCCTGTGATCACCATCGAAGATGAGGTGACTTTTCTGCATTGACTCCCAACTTGCCTTCATCGAAGGAGGCATTGCTATTAGGTTGGAGGCCATCGTTAGTAGGGTGGAGGCCATCGCTATTAGATGTTGAATGCATCGTTGTAGGCGGCGAATGCCGAGATAGTCCAACAGCTACTGCAGAAGGAGTCTGCCAAGGAGGAGCCATTGCTGGTTTGGTCACTTCGTGTGCATTTGAAAACAGAGGGATCAATGCCGTCTGAGAGGAAGCAGTGCAGGATTCAGTACAAAACTCAGCTGTACAAGATTCACAGGTCCTAGAGTTTCAAGCTGCTGAAATTGCTAAGGCTGAGGATCAGCCGGCATCCCTTCCTTATGTCAGACAGACATGCTTTGCAATTGAAAGTTGTGAAAATTTGTTGGAAGTTGCACTGGAGCATGCAATCTTCGCCAGTCTGTGGATCCTTTTGCTGACCTTCTGGCTACTATAATGTCCTGGCTGCAGCAGGCTTGTCCACTGTTTCAGTTTCTGCTTGCAGGAATCAAGGCAGTAACAGATAAAGAATGTTTTTGTTTAAGGCTGGAGGAACTCTTCAGCGAGAGGCTGTTTTGCCTTTGATAAAGGCTGACGTTTGCTTGAGCCCAGCATGGGATCAGACAAAAGCATATATGTGCATTTGATTTCCTTTGTGCGAATTTGTCAACACTGGTGGCAGGCCATGGGCTTCAGGGTGAGAGCTGTCATCCAAGCACTCTCGCAAACAGCCCAGCTTTTCCAACTGCCGATCTGCCTTTCATGGCGAGAATTCGCAGACGTCCGTGTGCAAGGCAGGATGTCTTTTGGCAGGAATCCCAGGGAGCCAAGAATGTGAGATGCGTCCTTGCTCCTAGTAGCGATGCCAGGAGCCCCTAGCAGCTTCTTGTTCCTAGTAGTAAGGCCAGGAGCCCCTAGGTGGCGTCCTTGCTCCTAGTTGCGATGCCAGGAGCCCCTAGTAGCTTCTTGTTCCTAGTAGTAAGGCCAGGAGCCCCTAGGTGATGTCCTTGCTCCTAGTTGCGATGCCAGGAGCCCCTAGTAGCTTCTTGTTCCTAGTAGTAAGGCCAGGAGTTTGTAGGTGATGTCCTTGCTCCTAGTAGCGATGCCAGGAGCCCCTAGTAGCTTCTTGTTCCTAGCAGTAAGGCCAGGAGCCCCTAGAAGGCGTCCTTGCTCCCAGTAGCGATGTTCCTAGTAGCAAGGAGCCCTAGGCGGCGTCCTTGCTCCTGGTAGCGGTGCCAGGAGCCCCTAGTAGAAAGGCCAGGAGCCCCTAGTAGCGTCCTTGCTCCTAGTATCGATGTCCCTGGGGAATCCGAAAAGAAGCAGGTTATGCAGTGCCCGGTCCGAAGTTTCTTGTCAAGGTCACATCCAGAGGCCGAATGTGAGATTCTGCTAAGAACGCCAGCATGGGGCTAAGGTTATTTAGCCTTCGGTCATTTATTGACCTCCCAGCACCCTGTCCTTCTTCTTTGTTCTTTTCTCACCCTCAGACTTTTTGAACCGGACGGCAGAGCTACTGTGAGTGGATTCTGAAGGCTGGGGCTTCGCTCCATCCCAAGCCTTTGCCGAGCAATTATCTGCATGACACAGCAGCTTGCTGAGCTGTTGTTGACATGTTTTTTGAAACGATACGTATACAATCAATCCATCCAAGACCCTTGAGATTAGAGCATCAAGGTGAGACGAAACTTGGTCTCACATGTGGGGTTCTCAGAGCATCTCAGAGCGTTTGCTGGTGGAGACTTGTTTGATCGGATCACAACATCTAGGTCAAACAGATGGGCTCGAAGGCCAAGTATGACAAGCTTGCTGGCTTTCTTGGCCTTGACCTCGGGTTTTCTCTTGACCTCGTGGCCTTGCGACCCCTCGGGCTGTAATCCCCACCTGATCCAGCGGACCCAGCGGACCCTGTGACGATTTAACAATGCCAACCATTGCGAAGTGCGCTGAGGTTGGAATGCAAAGTCTGAGCTCAGACGGACGTGCCATGAGCTGCATTTGGTAATCTCAAAGCAGGAAGGTCCAGCGAGTAAGATCAAAAAGGATGAACATTTGGACGATTTGATTGGCTTCCTCGTGGTTGTTGCGATTTGAGACGCCTTTTGTGCCATTGAAGGTACGGTGCGCTTCAAATAGTGCTGAGTGGGCTGCATGAGGCGTCAACCACATTGCCATGGTTCCATGACCATTCCTTTCAAAAATGCCAGATCTTCTATGACTCCACCAAGCTCTACCTCAAGCAAGTTCTGGAAGGAGCTTGATACTCAGAGAGTGTTGCACAGGAGCAGGCGTATAAAGTGCTGATTAGTGCTGAGTCTTGTTCGGTATGCCGGTAGGAACACCATGGAAGACACTAACTGCATCATGCATACCAGGTGGTTGACTGGCCAGTCAACAAAGACGGCCGAATAGGACTGCAACTGCGGGTGAATGATTTCAGCGCTTCAAGGAATGATGAAGATTGAGAGAGACCTCTCCACTGGATTTTAATCGTTCTGTCCTTGTCTCCGAAACTAGCCTGAAAGGACCAAACTCCAACAAGGACACCGTGCAACACTGGACACGGGCTTGCGATGACTTGAAAGGCTGACTCTTTTCACGAAAGCTAGCATGCTAGCTGAGTTCTTCTTTGCTTTAGCAATTGGTAGTGGGATGAGCTGTGTGCCTTAAAGCTTGATATATCACCTTAGCGTGATATATCACGCTAACCACCACCCCCCCCAAGGTTCGACTCCCAGCTGCGCGCCGTGTTGGGGGTTGGTTGAACGTGTGAACGTGGTTGGTTGGGTGTAAACGGTGGCTTGGTGTAAACGGTGCTGCTGCTGCCGCTCTGCTGCTTGCTGCTGCTGTTTGCTGCTGCCGCTGGTTGCCGCTTTTGTAGCTGCTGCTTTGCTACTTGTTGCGGCTTGGTGCTGCTGCTGCTGTTGCTGACGCCGCCGCTGCTGCTGCTGCTGCTGCTGCTTGCTGCTTGCTGCTTGCTGCTTGCTGCTGCTGCTTGCTGCTTGCTGCTTGCTGCCGGTGGTGCTGCTGCTGCTGCGGCTTGATGCTGCGCTGCTGCTGCGTGGTGCTGCTGGCTGGCTGCTGGTTGGCGGTTGCTTCTGGCTGCTGGCTGCAGGCGGCTGCTGCTGCTGCTGCTGGCTGCTGCTTGCTGCATAGGACTTGTACTTCACCGTTACAAGTTGTTTACCCCTATTTCTAACCTATGCATGCATAAGCGGGTGGTAAATTTACCCCCCAGGCTTGCTATAACCATACACCGGCTATTTCCTCAAGACTCTCTATTCTTGATACCTTTTACCAGTGCTTATCCTACACTACGGACGCCCTAGTGTATGCACAGTCCTTGTGATGCTTACCCCTCGTTCCGGCACTAGTGCATCCAGTGCGATTCGGCTAGCTTTCGACATCCTCCCCCTGGCCTCATGTTGTAGGAGACCGTGAGGTTGGTTTGGTGCTCTTTGCTACTAGTAGCTTCTTGTTACTAGTAGGGATGGCCTCTAACCTACTCGCGATGGCCTCCACCTAATCAAAGGAAGTTTAGTGTGCAAAACTTCCGTGTTACGGACATTCAAGAACTGTTCATACACCACTCATCATACACCACTGTTCATACACCACTTATCATACACCACTTATCATACACCGCTCATCATACATCACTCATCATACACCACTGTTCATACACCACTTATCATACACCACTCATCCTACATCACTCATCATACACCACTCATCATACACCACTCATCATACACCACTTATCATACACCACTCATCATACACCACTCATCATACACCACTCATCATGCACTACTCATCATCCAGTTAGGTCTAGTTTAGCTCTAGTTTCAATAGCTCTAGCTCGAGTTAGCTCGCTCTAGCTCCAGGTAGCTCTAGCTTCAATACCTCTACCTCCAGTTAGCCCTAGTTTCAACAGATCTAGCTCCAGTTAGCTCTAGTTTCAAGAGCAGCCGCAATACAAAATGCGTTTTCGAGAGATAGCGGACGCACGAAATGCTGTGTTTCTCAATGTGGCTCCGAAGCTGGCATGCTCGGATTATGCTCGAATCGTCCCTCCATTGTGGTTAGAATTTTCACTTGTTTCTGGAAGTGCAGATTTCGTGGCAGGCGCAGCACTTTGTGAACCTCCATGTGCAGATTTTGTGGCAGGCGCAATACAAAATGCATTTTCGAGAGATAGCGGACGCACGAAATTCTTTGATTTTCAATACAAAGGGTGGCTCCGAACCTGGCAAGTCAAGCTCTGTGGAACGACGTGTGCAGGACGGTCTCGGGTCATGGTCGGGTCATGGTCGGATCATGGTCGGATCATGGTCGGAATCGTCCCTCCATTGTGGTTAGAGTTTTCACTTGTTTCTTGAAGTGCAGATTTCGTGGCAGGCACAGCTCTTTGTGAACCTCCATGTGCAGATTTGGTGGCAGGCGCAGCGCTTTGTGAACTTCGAGGTGCAGATTTCGTGGCGGCGCAGCGCTTTGTGAACTTCGAGGTGCAGATTTCGTGGCAGGCGCAGCACTTTGTGAACCTCCATGTGCAGATTTCGTGGCAGGCACAGCGCTTTGTGAACCTCCATGTGTAGATTTGGTGGCAGGAACAGTGCTTTGTGAACCTCCATGTGCAGATTTCGTGGCAGGCGCAATACAAAATGCGTTTTCGAGAGATAGCGGACGCGCGAAATGCGTTGTTTTTCAATGTGGCCCCGAACCTGGCAAGTCAAGCTCTGTGGAACGACGTGTGCGAGACGGTCTCGGGTCATGGTCGGGTCATGGTGAGAATCGTCCCTCCATTGTGGTTAGAGTTTTCACTTGTTTCTTGAAGTGCAGATTTTGTGGCAGGCGCAGCGCTTTGTGAACCTCCATGTGCAGATTTGGTGGCAGGTGCAGCACTTTGTGAACTTCAATTTCGCGGCAGGCGCAGCGCTGGGTGAACTTCGAGGTGCAGATTTCGTGGCAGGCGCAGTATTTTGTGAACCTCCATGTGCAGATTTTGTGGCACGCACAGCACTTTGTGAACCTCGATGTATAGATTTGGTGGCAGGCGCAGCGCTTTGTGAACCTCCATGTGCAGGTTTCGTGGCAGGCGCAACACTTTGTGACCTCCATGTGCAGAGTTCGTGGCAGGCACAGCGCTTTGTGAACCTCCACGTGCAGATTTCATAGCAGGCGCAGCACTTTGTGAACCTCCATGTGCAGATTTCGTGGCAGGCACAGCGTCTGTGGAGCTGGACGCTGACTTTGTAGCGCACGTTTTGTACGCGGAGTATCTGCGGAGCTGGAAGATGAGAACTGGCGACTTTGTAGTACAACTTTAGTACGCGGAGCAATCTGTGAGAACTGGCGACTTCGTAGTACAACTTTAGTACGCGGAGTATCTGGGGAGCTGGAAGACGAGCAAACTTCCTGCGCCAGGTGTGTGGTGCTTCGCATAGCATGCTTCTCGAATGGGGTGTGCTCTTCCATTGCCACAGTCTGCGCAAGATATCTTCTTCCCTAATGGTGATGCTCTCGGCTGCTCCTTGTCTGTTTCCTCCCTTAGTCATCCCAAGGGAGAGAGGACTGCGACACTGCGAGGTCCTGTTTATTGACAATGGGCCTTGTGCGCTCCAAGTAACTCCCCTGTCCGTAGGAGTCCATGAAAGGCTAGCAGCAAAGAAAGGGCGAAGAGGTCATCTTGTTGAAAAAGGCTTTGACCAACCATCATCTCCAAAGCTTCCATGGGAAGCGGCGGCGCCTTGTTTGGGAATTCATTGGTCGCCCACGTCTTCATCAATCTCCACGATGCCGCTAAGCGGCCCTTGACTGACGGGAGGTAATCCTGCACGGAGGCAATAGTGTCAGCTGCTAAGGCCCTGCCTTCTCCACTCTCCCACAGGACCTCTATGTACTGACTGAGCCAGTGGTCAACTGGGCCTGGATCATGAGGAAACTGTCTGTTTTCTTCCTTCAGGAATTGGCGAAAGCGTTCCAAAGCGCGGTCATATCTCTCTCGGGTTGCGGGCTGCACTGTAAGGTTCTTCAAAGGAGAACTGGCGACTTTCTAGTACAACTTTAGTACGCGCAGCAATCTGTCAAGCTGGAAACTGAGAACTGGCGACCTTGTAGTACAACTTTAGTGCGCGGAGTATCTAGAGCCGGAACACTCCTATAGGTCAATTTGTTCTTATAAGAAACTTCCGCCGCCGGCTTGCCCGGGAACTGCTTGTAGCGTCTTTGCTACAAGAGAACGCTTAGAATGTTTCCTTTTGGACAGGTGCAGGAGACATTGACTGGTTCAACGCCAAGCGGCAGCTTCTGGGCGTGGCCGGGGACGCCAAGTTGCTTCGGATTGCTTCCCACAGTGTTTCACACACCACGGAGCTCCAATTGAGTTCTTTTAGTGGTCCAACAATTCAGTTGGCATCCGATGGTTCAAGGGTTTAGTGGCTGGGTGCACTTCTGCTCATCAGAGCCGTAGTTCAGCTCCAGGTGATGAGCCAGGGTGGGCGACTGGATGCACAGGTTGCACGGTGGATCCTCAACCCGGCAGGGGAGCAGGCTGGTGCCATGGCCCCGCAATCTTGCCCAGCCAAGCGAGCTCGCAAAGTATTGCTATGTAGCACTTCGGCCCCTGGGCAATTGGGCATCGTTTTCTCTTTCTTTCGAGGCCACACTGGAGCGGGTTTTCGAAGTGGGCTCCAAATATGATCTGACGAAGGCGTTCACTTGTGAAGCTTGCTTCTGGAGTTCACCAGTTTACTTCAACTTGAGGTACAGTTTTTTTGAAGACTTTTGCCTCTGACGCTCTTGCTCCTTGTGCAATCAATGCGCTCCTTGGCTTTTCCAACCTTGTTGGAGGTATTGTTTTGGGAACCTCGGCGCATCTTTAGAAGGCGGCAGAGCATGGCCGTCGCAGAGGACGTTCAGGCTCACGGGCAAAGCGTGGTTGCTTCCGATTCTTCTGCTGATGCTACCATTGAGGTTGACCCGGAATTGCAACAAGCGATTCTTAAGGCAGGAGTTCCATCATGAATGCTTTGTTCAATATGCTTTGTTCATGACGTTGCAGGCCATCCTTGCAAGAGGCTCTGCGAGTTTGGAAGAGCTCAAGGTACCTAAGTCGTGTGTGTATTGGTGAAGACAAAGGGTATTGGAGCTGCTAAGAGACTGAATCTTGCAATGTATCAGCCGTGATGATTGTCCGTCGACTCGTCGACCAAGCGCCAGGCTGCATTGGACGAGGCAGGCTTTGCTGAGAAGGCCAGTTGGTACAGGAAATGGTGTGCGAATCTTTGGAAGAAAAAGAGGGGTGGAGCCTAGTTTAATGTTAAACATTCATGCCACAGTGTCAGATGAAGGAGGGTGCCTCAAGGTGTCTCGCTGACAAATCTCGCCCTTCGTGCCCTTGGAGACTGCTTTAGCCTGAATTCTTTGAACACCTCGCCGTACCAGGGCCAACATCATCAAGCCCTTTGTGCCTACAGGGTTCCTGAACAAGCTATTCCAGTCAGCATTGCATGATTGCATCGTCTTAGCCCATTCAGTGCCTTTGGTTTTATATAGACTTTGAACTTTGAACTTTAAAGTACGTGATGAACATGTTTGGTCTGCGACAATATCAGAGCCAACAAGGACTGCCTAAAGTGGACGAACAGATTAGACGTAGCAAAGTTAATGGCACACATGAACCGAGCAATGTGTGCACTGACCCTTCGGGCTTGGCGTTGCAGCCCGCCTGGATGGAGGAGGGCACTGGGGAACCGGTGTGTGTATGTATGTGCGCTGGAGATCACATTTAAGGACCAGGTGTTTTAAAAAAGGCCGGTCCTTCTCTAAGTACCCCAGCAGCTGGTATGGATGCCTTTCCCAAAGTGGTGGCTCACCCAAATGTGAGATGTTTGGCACAAGTTTGTATTTTGAAAATGTGTGCAGTTAGGCATTCACAAGGATGACTTGGATGTCAAACACCTCGGTGAAACACTGAATTCGCTGATTCTCTAGGCGAGCTTGGCTTCGGCTCCACACCACAGGTGTGGGAAGGGGCAATCGGGTGAGGCTCGGTGAGGTGCTTTGCAGGTGACATTCAGAGAAATGTGGTTGACCCATGGAAGTGGAAAGCGATGTAAATCCCACTGCTGTGTAGTGTTCACTTGTTTGGCCAGCTAACAAGGGTCTTTATGGTTCTTTCACCATGCGCTCTTCTGGTGCAGTAAGCAGAGCCTACGTCCAGGACATTTATCGGTGAGATGCTGGCACAACGAACCAAACCTGTGAGGCAGCCTTCCTGGCGAAGCCCTCGCACCTGGAGTCTGGAGCCCAGAGGAGCCCAGAGGAGCCCAGACTGGTAAGCTCTTCTCAGCCTCAGACCTGATGGCCAAGGTACCAGGAGGTGCTGCAAAGCTCAGTGAGATCGCAAAGGTTCGCCGTTCTTGTTCTTTTTGGATAGGGCGTTCGGATTCGACGATTTGCATCCAGGTGCCCCTGTTGATGAAAGAGTCACCGGTGAGGGTGCGCGAGATCTGGCTTGAAAGGCCGGATTCTGGAACTGATGCAGCCATCGGATCCCGTTGCAATTGCAGGTTTCAGGACAATCCTGTGGCTGTCGCAGGGGTCGGGTACTTGGTCAAGCGAATTAAAACTTGGCGCCATGATTATGAGAAGACGGTGAACAGACAACTGAGGCTATAACAGACAAAGACTTCAGATCGTTCGGAACTTGGTTTGGAGGGAGGGTTTGTAAGGCCAGATGCTGTGAATGATTTGCCAAACCAGCCACCTATATTTTGTTTCTCTTGCCAAGGTTGCAAGCAAATGCCGAGGCTGGACGTAATGAGAAAATGGACTTTGGGCTGATGAAGGAAAGGTGCCGCTGTTTGCCACGGCAGGCATGCCCGATGTTTGTGGTACCATTACCTCGTGGAGAGGGCTATGCGAATCTGGTCTGGCAGGCTGGTCTGCTGTTTTGTGAACCCAACATCATTGTTTTGGGATCGGGGAAGATCGGGGCATGTATGTAAAGCCTTAAGCTGCTTGTGCTACTCGTTTCCGATGCTTAGCAAGTGGTGTTCCAAGGTGCAAGGGGATCGTATCCTCTTCAAGACCTTGGAAGGCTTTCAGCCACTCGGCATGATTTCGCTTTTTTCCCAGACACTGGTGGACTTGATTTCGGCCTGACACAAAATCCTCATCTCCAAGAGAGGGGAAACGCCTGACGGTGATCCGCGTGACCTGCTTCACAGAGGCAGAACTCGCCGGTCATCGATCTCGGCGTGACCTTCTTTACCGAGCTGCTGGGGCCAAGCTCCCAGTCTCTCGTCGACTCAATCTGGTACAGCTGTGTCCTGATATGCGGAGGACCCACCAGCTAGTTCTCCTGCGTGGTGAGATCAAATCCAACTTACTCTCAAAGGACATTGGCTGGTGCGTTTGGCCAATCTATGTCTCCATGTCGTCACACGTAGCAGCAACACATAGGAGGAAGCGGCCAAACTGGTGCGCTACATGCGAGAGGCATGGCTTGTGAAACACCGATGCTTTACAAGGCTTGCCAAACTGTGCAGCAGTGTAGAGGCTTATTGTGATCCTGCGCTTTTTTCTTGGGTAAAGCGTCAGTTTCTGAGAACGGCTAGTTCTGCAAAGCCATAGCGGCTTAGCATGATCTTCAGACTTCAACCGGATTCTGAGGCTTCAACCACTCTGCCAGAGACTTCGACTGGCAAGAGTTTATGTCCCAAGCTCGACCGCTGGAGCCGGAACCCCAGAATCAGGGATCCGGAGCCTTGGGATGAGATGTTTGCGCTCATTTGCACCATCGAGGCGCTGGCAATCGATTTCCTGAGAGTGCTTCTCAAACGCAATCGATGGCGCCAGCAGCAAAAAGAGAAGCTGTGCGACTTGGTGTGTGAGGAATCACGTGATGACGGCAGCTGAATTGGTGACCAACATTTACAGAGCTCTCATGATCCATCTCACTCCTGTTTGCATTTACTTGCTTCAGCTCACTTCAGGGTGTAGCAAGAAGTTCTTTTCCAGGCAGATGAGGGTGCCATCCATGCAGCTGCGAAGCCTTGGCTGGTTGCTTTGACTCGCGGAAATCTCGAGCATTCCTGGACTCGCGATTCGATCGCCAGGCAAGTTATACCTGAGCTTTTCTTTATGCCGGACCATGTATTTCTTCGTGACTCGGCCAGTAACTTCACGACGATCCGCAGCTCATCCGGATTTCAGCCGCAAAGCTCGGCAGGACATGTGGTGAACGGCATCGTTTTGGAAGATGCCCCCACAGAGGCTGAGTCGAGTCTCAATCAGTTCTCTCCCCTTTTAGAAGGAGTTCCTCACTTTGCTGTTGCGGCGAAGGAGCCAAGGGATGGGGAACTGGACGAGGAGGAGGAGCTGATGCGAGAAGGATTGGCGGAGGCAGATGAGATGATTCGCAGATACCGACTGTCCGACACACCCAAAGCATCCCGCATCACTCTTCTCTTTGCTTTGAAGAGACTCTTTGGCGCCAGTACATTGCCATAGGTTGCTGCAGCTGCTGCCGCTTTGCCGGATGCAGAAGAAGACCCTCTGCAGATAAAGGCACCAAATGGCAATGCAGCTGCTGCTGCGCAGCAGGCTGGAAGCTTTTTGCAGAGCAGGGTGAAGCAAGGACAATAGATTGTGGTGCTGACTGGATGCCAATCTTCTGGGAGCAGAACCATTTATTTCTGACCACTTTTTTCGGAGCCTTCAAGCCTTCTATTCTTGAATCATGATTTTGAGGCGAAAGCTGCTGGGGTGGACGTCTTCTTGAACTTTTCCGGCTTCGTAGCCAAGAAGGCCATCTCTCGTTGACGGCCCTTGCTGGTTTTGCTCAGTCTTCATGGGTGACATTTGCTGTATGAAGGCTGTGGAGCTGCCTGAGCAAAGTGGACCACCTGCGAAAAAGCTGAAATTGGTGCCTTGGTCGTGAAACGATTTCCTCGACCTGGTGGACTCGCTTTGCACTGCTGGTCCCGAACGTGGACTGCTCTGAGGTGCCTCCGTGGCTGACGGAAGGTGCTGCCGTGCGGGTCCGTGGAGAGGAACTCCCCGGAGCGATTCTGGAAGTCAAAGGCAGGAAGAAACGTGCAGACATGGACAGGGTGGGCAGGGCCAGGCAGGGAGTGACATGGACATATTTCCAGTGATGAGGACAAGGTGACCAGGTCATGTTGATGGGTTCCTTGTTTATCATTTGTCCCACACTCATTGAGCTTGCTGAGTTACCAAGTTGCCAATTCAATACAGTCCTGCTGTAGCAACTGCAAGTTGCTGTTTTATTCTGTCAACACTTCCCAACAAAGGATGAGGAATACCTGCCGGGTGTTCCGATCGTTGAGAGGTGACACCTGCCGGGTGCAGCTTGAACGTGCAGGCTGCGAGTGATGGTGCATGTTTCTACAACTGCGATTTTCAGACATGAAGACGCGATGCTGGCTGTCAGGAGACAAGGGGACGACCCTTGTGGAAGAAGAGCTTCCCCTTTCTGCTGGATCTCCAGTTGAGTCTCAAAAAGTTTGGCCTTCCACCCATTCTTTGGAGCTTTTGAAAGACCTGAAGCACCGACTCTTCCAGTTGAGGCGCTTGTTCCCGTCGCACCTGAAATCGGCTTGTGCGTCAAGGTGCAGCAGTTGGTGATTCTCCAGTTGAATGTGTCAATGTTATGAACACCCAACCCAATGACAGTCCCTGAAATCATCATGGGAAGTGGAACATGGCAAACTACCTACAGGCGAATCCCAAAGGGCAATTTTTCCACTTCCATGAAATGGGTCGATGATCGGTCCGTCTATGCGCTGTTGCACTGCGCCAGGTGGTGAGTGGTGACAGGATTGGCTGTACAGGCGGGCACTCAGGTCAATGCCCCTCTGCCTTTGCAGTTCTGGGATATTTAGGTTGGTTGGAACTAGGGACACAATCCTTGGGCAAGCGCAAAAAGGATGAAAAACGTCCACTGCTTGGGGCGTTTCTGGTTTTTGAGTATACCTGTTGACTGTTTTGGATTCATCCTTGTGCATCCATGATCAACTTGCGGTCCAGGCAAACTGGTTGGGCTGGCGGGTGCAGAAGCTGTTGTGCAGATTGGAGGGCCACGCTTGCTGTGTTTGGAGGAAGCTGGCGGAGTTGAGTCCTGAACATACTTAACATGAACAGAATCGTCTTCCCCAAAATGTTCATCTACCGTAGTTAGTGTGTTTTTGACCCCACGTTTTGCCAAAGCATGTTAAGTACTGTGTCTATATGGGGCAGCAGAGATGGATCGGTGGCAGCTGAACATGCATGAACATGATGTGAATGCCTTGCCAGAATGTGCTATGAAACACTTCCCATGGGCCAGCTTGGCACTCAGTGAAGACGAGCTGATCGATGTGTACCGGTCATACGATGAGTAGATCGAACAGAGGTAAGGATTGCAGTGGTGGCCTCGTGAGACCTTGGTGCTGAGCAAGCAAAGTGAAGCGAACTTCATCCAAAGCCTCAACTGAAAGATACATTTATATAAACTTATATACCCGAAGTAACCCTTTGTTGTTGTCTTTTCTTTGTCAATTTCGCGATTGCTTTCCTTGCCCAGCACCATGTCCTGTTTGGACCAAGAAAATCCTGTAAAACCACAACTAGGTGCCAAAGAATCCGCACATTGGTTGAATAAATCTCACTGAAGAGTGCACAGCCAAGTTGCCAGCGAGGGAAAACGTCGAAAAAGGAGTCACTGTGCTGCGTTGAATGTTCCTATATATATATAGATCAAAGATGGCCGCCTGCAAGTGTTTGAGTTTTTGGTGGACATTTTGTTGATTTCCATCGACATTTTTGATTGGCACTCTCACGATCTTTTCTTTCACACCCCGACAAGCCCGTTGGCGCCAAAAAGCTCTGACTTCTTGTGTCACGGCTGGGACGAACCTTCACAGCTTCACCATCGCACCATCAAGAAGTCAGAGCACCATCGCATCACCTAGTCCTTATGAAGGCTGAGAGGATGCTGGTCATTTGTGAAACGCGGAATTGATGGGTTTGTGCTTTGACCCAAGCGACCCAAGCACACCTTGTTCAAAAGCTCTGCGTGTCAGCGAAACTGCTTGCAAAAATTGGGCCGGTGAATTGGGTGGCATGTTAATGATGGGCTGTGTGTTTGGAGTGGTTCCACGCAGGGGCTGGTTTGAGCTGACCTCTCAGCTTTGCGCGAGCTTTTCATCCAGTCATGACCAGACTATGTGAAGCCTGTGACAGGGTGCAGAGAGTCCAAATTCTCATCTCACTCCCCGAATGCCCATCCGAATGATGCGGCCAAAGGTCTATTCTGCAAACCATTCAGCTTGCAGGAATCGGGTGCAGCACTTGCCCAAAAGGATTGGTCCACAGAAAGCGGTTATCGCATCAATGCGATCAGCACCGTGGCAGAACACCGTGGCAGCGAAACACCCACGCTTCGGCCGAGTCGTAGGCACTCCACCGGACTAACGCAAGGGGAGGACTTCGAACGCTTACGACTTTGCGGGCCTATTTTGCGCAGTGTCAACTCGGCAGTTGCGAACCCAGGCGAACGAAACCGTTTCTTCCTCAAGTGAACAAGACAATACAAGACCTGAACTTGTTGCTTTTGTTGAATTGCGTGTGCTTGAAAGCAACACTTGCGATCAATGCGTGCTTTTTCGGAGTGAGACGTCTGCGGGACCCTCACGAAGCAACTCCGCAACTCCGCGTGGACACACCGTCAAAACGCGGAACGAAGACTCCGGACATCGGTTCAGGAGATCACTGAACGTGCTACCTTCATAGTCCCTCCTCTCTTGGATTTCCGGCGTTTGCAATTGCGGTTCCTTTGTGCACTTGTTACGTTGGACCTGTCCTAGCTGCTCCCACTTGGTCAGTTGAAAGCCTGTTGCTCCGCTCCCTCCCCAAGTCTCATCCAGCCCTGTCCCCAATGCGTTTTTGCCTTCACCGTTTTGTGGTTGGAGCCAAGCTTATCACGATCATGTTGATTGATCGATTGGGACGCTCTCATGACCTTTGACTTTAGTAACCCGCACCCGAGCTCTCGACAATTTGTACCAATACTGCTTCCTACCTACCTACTTATACATATACATGTTGTATGTGTATACATATACGTATAATTACATGTTGATGTATCCCTGCACATTTCGATGCTTCAGCAGAACCAAGAAGTGCCCATTCTAGTACTGGCTTACTTGCTTTAGTCTCCGTCCCTGACCTCTTCCTCATGTGTCGCTGTTGCTACGACAGCGCATCCTTCGGTCGGGAGCTGTTGCATTTACACTGTACACACACAAAGGAATTGTATTTGAGGGCTGCGAGGAGTGCCCAGCATGGCAGCATTGCGTTCATGCGTTTTTCCGCCGACACCTAAACACGCTGGCTGGAAGACAAGCCACAACCATGTGCGCGCCACGTGGCGTGCACGCCATGCCACATGCCATGCGGCCCTTTGGCCGTAGCTCTGGAAAGACCCGGGACCCCTCGACCTCCGCCCTCCGCGTTTCAGCCTTTTTGGCCCTCGACGTCCGAGTCGCTGCAGTGACGCAGTGGGCGCAGTCGACGCTTGAGACGTCGGATCTCATTCTGAGTCGTTGTGGCTTGTTCATTGAATACCTGTGTCGCCTGTGTCATGTTTCGCGTGTTTGCGCTCTTCGCTCCGGGACTTCCGCTATGGACTTTCGCACAACGGGAGTCAAAAGTGGCGCATGGCCTCCTTTGCTGGTGCTTGCAGGGAAAACAAGAAGATCAATGATCGCACAGTATTGTTTGTGATCTGCACCACTATGCAGATGTGCTTAGCTCTACGCGATCGAAAAAACTGCAACACATGCCCGCTTTGTTTCAGGGACGCAGGCCCATGCTCTCTTCGGGTTATGTTGAACCGCAAAGGTTAATTCTAATCGAGAAGTACATAAAAACTATGTTACAACTCATATACGGGCAATGTACGGGCATATACGAACGTGCGAACGAACGTGCGAACGGACGTGGCCTGTCCTGACCTTACGTGCAAGCGGACGTGAATGGACGTGGTCAAGTATGACGTTCACTTTGATGATGCCATCCCGGATCCTCATAGTAACCACTTTTCACTCCTGATCGCTGCGACAGCTGTGATCACTCTAATTGTTGAAATGTGCATCGGATTGGGATGACATTTGATCATATTTGATCCTTGAATTTCCCGCTGCCGTCGGGCCCCTAAGATCTTGACCCAATTTGGGCTTTCGGTTTTGGTCCGGAAAAGGCTCCATTTGCTTTGCTGCCGGCGTGCGCCGGTGCTTCAATAGTGACACCGGAACCTATGATCGAGGTGCACTTCGCTTTTGTGCTGCCGCCGCGCTGCCTGGCTTCGCTGCTCTTCGACTTTTTGCATTTTGGTTTCGCCGCCTTCCACCTCCAGGTTGAATCTGTGACAGGCGATCCAAGCGGTTCACTCGGCCACGTTCCCCGTGGAGGTGACTGCAGAGTTCGAGTTAGATAGACTGAGGTCACACGCTAAGGTATTCGACCTTTTGGTTGGGCTGTGTTTCATGAGGGGGGCGACGTCGCGATGACTGAGGAAGACAATAATGGAGGAAGTGGCGCATGGTCCGTGGGTGCCCCCTTGGGAGGGACATTTTTAAAAGAAGGCGTTCCTTCTGCGCCAGAATCTGGTTTCTTCGGCGCAGCGGCAAAGTCCGCCAAGCGGATGAGTAATTCATGCCTGAGACACTCGAGTGCCACAAGGCTGTGACGGCTTTGTTCGCCCAGACGGCAGAGGAAGTTGTGATCAGTCGTGAGAACCCTTTTTCAACTAAGGAAAGTCCTGACAGCCCTCGAGTCAGCCAACAGCAAGACAGCGTTGGACAAGCCGGGGTCTACGCGACACCTATTGGGAGCGTCGGGGGGGGCTGGAAGAGGGGATCTCAGAGTTTTGAACGGATTCCTTTCGGCAGCCGCGGGATTGAAGATGGACGGAGTGACGTTGTCGAGTTGGGATGCTTCTTCACGCAGAAATTAGGGTTGGAAGCCGTCAAGTTGCAGATTGAGGAGGTTGGTTTGCAGGGAAGGAGCCCCTGGAGGAGACGGAAGTTGAAGTTTTCAGACTTTTCGATGTTGGTGACCCTTTGTCACGACGCTCCAGTCCAGATAGTTTCGCCAGGAACCCCGTCGTGAAGAATTTGTTCGCAGCAGCCAAGGCATCCCTTTCAAGGGGTTCGTTTGCGGTTTTCGCTGCACTTTCCAAATCCCCATTTGGTTCAGGGCGAACAAGCACCACCTAGAAGTCGGCGCGTTCTTTTCACCGCCAACCTTCACCCAGGGTGCAGGGCACTTCACTCTCGAAGAGGTGTTGCAAGCCGAAGCTGAGATCTTGGCAGCAGAACTTGCGGAAACACGTGGTGGACTCAATGGATTGGGAAGCTAAAAATTCAGCATGTTGCAATCTTCTCCTGATGGCGTGGCCAGCTTCGTTGACAGCGAAACTGACGATGATGACGGCACGAACACGCCGGATGCAAAGGTTCCAACTGGTAAGGATTATGTTTCGACAAAGCCGGCCTCAGGTCGCAAGACATCAGTTGCCATTGATGCTAGCCCTGGAGATAACTCCCCGTTCCCGAGGCCAGACATTTACAAAAAATTCAACTTCGAGAAGGAGACAAGAAAAGAATAGGCAGAAGGCCCCGCTGAATGACGAGGTTTCTTTGAAACCACCTTCTTAAGAGAGTTGAGGAAAGCCGGCTTGGGGCAAGACAAGAACAAGGTGGAGGCGTGGAAGATACTGGTTCACCATTATCCGCATTCCGCATTGAGTTGTCACGAAAAGAGTGTCAACGGATGAAACCAGATGAAGGTGGGGAGGCAAGAGGACAGAAAAACACCAAAAATGCAATCAAAGGCTGGTAAACAGGCCCACGAGCCGAGACACTTCCCATACCAGCGTTTGTGCCAACACTGCATGGCTGGAAGCGGTCGAGGTGACTATTATTTACGTGACAAGCATGCAGCAAAACATGCCTGGTGGTGACTTGACGATTGGCCGCATGCTGTTTGTGCGCCAACACCGGGCTAAGGGGATGAGGTTTGTTGATGTTTGTTGGACACTTGGGGTACCCGAGGATGATCTTCAAGGGAGCTGGCGAGCCTTCAACGCGAATTCTGCTAGAAGTGTTGGAAGTGTTGGCTTCCACACACGAACATAAAGATCAGCGGGTTTCCTCACCTGTGCTCTTTTTGGGCAAGGCGCCATGCAATACAGGAAACAAGGAGGAGGACCAACAGCTTATATGAGACAAGGTACGGTCGCAGTATTTGATGAAAAAAAACCTTGACCAGAGCGACGAGGGCCAACGGCAGTGACAAGTTTGAAAGACTGATTGGATCGATTTCCAAATGGTGGCCACGGCGTCGGGCTTGAAGCGGACAAGGACCATCAGGAGCTTGCCAACACGTTTTGACCCTGAGGCCGTGACCTACGTGAAGTTTTGGCTGT